TCTGAAGATATCTGTGGTTTCTATTCTCCCAAGAACTGCTGTACACTATTGTGGTTTGTCACATATATTCAAAATTGATGGAAATGCTAAACTGTAAATGAGGTTAATGAAAAATAATGATTTCAATTTTTTCCCCCACAACCTAAGCTCACGGATGCCCTGTATCCTCCCCAGCCCATGGCCTGCGGGATAAGCACCCTATCTAGAGCTTTGAAAATCAGTAGCGGGTGGAGGAGCTGAGCTCCTTTGCTGAGTGTGCTTGGACCACAGCAGGGCTGGCTTCAGCTCACCTGGAGCCCACTCACGTCCTTGCTTGCAAATGGTCCTCCCTACCCTCTCACCTGGAGGGTGAAAAGCCAGGCTCTTCCATTGTAATGGTGGCAAGGGGAAGGCCCTATAAAGGTACCTGGATTGGAGCAGGAGCAAGGTCAGTGACCTTTGGCTAAAATCCTCTTTGTGCTCTACAGATATGGAAAGGCACAGCGGTTCTGGCTATATATGTCCAGAGTGGAGCCATGGAGATCTCTCTGGGTAAAATAGAATTTCATTATGTCATTCTTGGGCATGCCGCCTGGTCTCTCTATACTCATGAATCATCTGTGTTGCACACACGGAGTTTCTGATGCCACACATCATCATTATGATGCTGAATAAGACTGGGCTGAAGCAAGAGATGAAGTAGACATCCTCGCAAAGGCGAGAATTGTCGGCTTTGGAAGGAATAGGGTCACCTGGGGAAGTAATGAGTGAGAAGATAGTACACAAGGAGCCAGTCTCAAAATGACTTGATCGTGGAAAGAACAGGCTCCCAGAGCTGGCCAGGCCTCCTTATGAATGAAGCTGCCAAAGGGCAAATGTCCACTTGGACTCTTTGCTCTCACTAAGTGCGAAGCAGCCTGCTTTTACTGCCCCCTCCTCTGAGGACCTGAGGGAAGAGCATGAGAGACCCGCTGACCCCTTGGGATTAGTCTAGGAATGTCCCTAAGATGAGCTTCCACCTGCACTGACACCTCCCATTCCACAGGGCCAGTCCCAGAGGCCCTCCTCCTTGGGTAAGGAAACCCCTGCACAGAAGGATCCCTGTGCAATCCATCTCTGAATTCTCCGTAGGGGTTCAATGCTAGAAGCTAAAGCGTATCTTCCCAGCAGTGGTTTTTCTGCATCCAGGTCCCTCTGATCACGTGGTAAGCCAGTCAGCGTGTCCTCCACCCTGACAATGCTTGTCTTTGAGATAATTCTTTCCTTCATACCTCTGGAAACTAAGGTTAAATGTATGCTTTTACTGTCAGGGGAAACCTCATGATCACTGGATGTCAAAGGAGGTGCACAGTTGTACCCCAATCCTGAAATTAGTGGGTTGGGTATGGATGCACGAAATGTGCGTACACAGTGTAAGTGACAGCCTCATTTTCAGTTTAATCTAATGCAAACTGCAATTAGAAAGTATAGATGGATTATCCTAGTTCTATTCAAATATGCAACCATCCAATAACAGTAAGGATAGTGCCCTTGGAGAAAACACATTTCAGCTCTACAGGTTTTGAAAAATCTCTGACTAGCAAGAGTTTCTAATTCATGAGACAGATTTTCAGGTGTGGTTTATAGACAGAGATATAATCTCTATGTAAATTGCCCCCTAAAAGGAAGCTACAAATTCAAGTTGTGATTATGAAACAAGATAAAATCTAACCTGAGACTAAGAAATCCTGACATGCAGTCTGTGGTTCTCAAATGCCTTGTTCTATATATTTAGAGCCTTGGTGACTTTGGTGGCAGTGTAAGACAGTGATCAATATTCCAACACCCCCACCGACCACCCTGGCTCTGGGCTAGCAATGGCCATTTGCACAGAAGCTGAATCCTCCCATTCTCCCATGTCTGCTTGTGATGCAAACACTGCGTAGCTCTTAACTCACCTTACTTATGGAGCCAAATTACGGTGCATTTCAGTGAATCGAGCCTACTCCTGCTGTCAGCTTTGTGACGTGGTGTAAGTGAGCTGAGAGCAGCAGGAGGCTGGGATGTTAAAGTGATGCAGCTCAGTGAGCAGCAGGCCTGTACTGTCAGGGCGGAGGAGAGGAGAGGGCCAGGCCACCTCAAAGCATGGCTTTTAGTTAGTTTTGCTTCATCCAGTCAAAACTCAGGAGAGACAAAAAACAAAGAAACACCTCCCCACCCCCCTCCACACACAGAAAGATTAGAAAGAAAAAAAATTCTTTCTGTTCCTCCTTTGTTGTCCTTTGTTTCCTAATTTTGTCTCCCTGCTCTGGTTTTTAGTAGTTTGGCCAAGGGGTTGGGTTCTGGGCTAAGGAATTTAGGAAGGTAGGTTTCCATTTGGAGTAACTTAGGAAGAACAGGACCCCAACGTGGCAGTGACAACAGTGAGGGTCTAGGAAACCTTTACTGTTTCTGTAGCACCTTTCAAAGAGCGTAGAAATTAAGGTCAGCACCACAATCTAGAGCTTTCTAACCAGGACTCCCCACGGGGGCTCCCGGACGAGCTATAGAAGGCATTGGTTCATGTTCTTGCTCTGAGGGGAAAAAGCAAAGCAGGATAGATTGAGAATGATTAAATGCCACCATTTTTACTGCAGAACCACACTTAGGCGTTGCTTTCAATCTAGCAAGTAAAAAAGTATTAAACAAAAAATCCTTTCAAGGCCACCTCAATTTAGGATTTTCACACTTGGGATTGAGGACAGATATATAATAACTTCTCTGTTGAAAAATCAAGGCTGTCCTGTCTACTGAGATTTCCTGTTGCAATTCATTTCCTCTTTTCTGTGCAAAAGAAAATGTATCACTCTGTTTTCTTCAGTTGCAAAATTTTCTCTGGGAATATTGTTTTGCAAATGGAGCATTAAAATGAATAGTCAACAAGAGCAGCTGGAGCACATGGGGAAATGAGCTACGATAGGGCAGGGTCAAAGTCATGAGATATCTTTTCCACTGCACGCTATTCTTCTCTTCCTAATGAACCAGATGTCCATTATCCTTTTCCTGAATTTTTAGTGGCCGATTTTTAATTGCAATTGACTTCTCTCTAACATCTGACACCTGACCAATTGCTCGCCAATAGCCTATGCTAAGTAGACCCAAACTGACCAATGTTAAACTAAAGAAAAATAAAATTGGAAAACCATCTTGCTCAATAGTCACATAATGAATGCATCTCCAAAAAAACCGGAAGTGATACCTGGATTATTTGGCCCTGCTTTGTACATTTGAGATGGAGTGTGAATTCTTTATCTTCTTATTCCTAATTTAGGCCTTGTGTGTGGCTCAAACAGAAAAAAACCCCATGATCTATGATTTTAGTATTACAAGAAGATTCCTAGACCCCTCCTAACAGTGGTTCTGCTCATCTGACAGGGTCTTGGGGTTTTCTGGAAGGCTCTGGCTCTTGCTCCATGAGTGGCTCCCTGCCTTCTGGCCTGTCCAAGTGTGCTCTCTGGGACCCACAACTCCTGAAGGGCTTCATTACTCTTCTGGCACTTAGCTTCACTGGGTTCCTGGGTGCATAGTTCTCTTCACTTCCACTGGTTCTTTACAAGGATAACAGGAATCAAGGTGGCATCTGGTTTGTCAAAGTCCCAAAGGACCTTGAGAAGTCAGTAAGTCCACTCTCTGCCTTGACAGTATCTTTGAGGAACATGCCATAGATTCTAACATATCCACAAAACAAGCACAAAAGCCCACATATTTTGAAAGGAGATCAGGAAGGAGGAAAGGACACTTGGATGGGAAGAGCTTTGGTGCAGCTCTTTTTTAAGCATTATTGCTTAAAAAAATATGCGATGTCTCCTACTGCATACGGAGTTCCAACTACTTACGAAAACACAGGGCTATTCACTATCTGGCCTTCTACTTATTCCCTCTTTAGGAACAGCTCTTATGCTAAAACCCAGAGAGGCCCTAACCAGCAGCAGGTGTGTCTTTTACCACAGTATTCTAAGTGAATGTGAACTTGACTGCTCTGAGACTGAGCACGTACTGTATCTCCCCACTACTCCCTATGGTCTGAAATGGGTCACATCATACATTTATAGAGGGTACCCTGTACTTATGAAGGTATTACTTCATGGCCTTGCACAAACATCACCTCCTCTGAGGCTTCCTGAGCATCACAGATGGAACTAGTCCCTTTCCACAGCACTCTAACACGAGTGTGGGCTCTATCACGTTGTGTTACATTTAGTTGGGTTATGGGTCTGCTTCCCTCCCCTTGGCCTTTGCTCATGGAGGCACATGCCCAGCTTTGTCTTCTGATGCTTCTCCCACTTGACAGCCATTAAAAGTATCTGTTCCCATTGGCATTTATGACAGCAGAGCTATGCTTAGAGCAAACAATCTTGTGTCTCTCTGCCCTCCTGAAGTCATGCAACGGCAGCAAACCATGCAGTCTACCTTATTGGCACTTACTCATATGCCAGGCACCCAGGTAGGGGAGGTATAAAGGATGATGAGGGAAATAGTCATGTCACATAAGCCCCACCTCCTATGATTCTTCTTTCCGACAGATGAGCACTCCGCTCACCCTTCAAATCACACGTCATTGCTCACACCCACATCCCTCGCAGGACCCTCAATTCACAGTAATGGGAACTGGATCAAACTTATAATTCTACATCTTTCCACTAAATTTTATCTTTTTTCCCCATGATGAGAGCAGGCAGTGGCATTAGCAAGTTACATTTATTTATAATGGTTCCCAGATTATCTGAGACCTGAAGGAGGTCAAAATTCCACTTGTAAAATCATATTATTGGTATAAATATACATATGAATAAAATACCTTCAGCCTATAATGTAAGTGAATATTTTTGAAATGTCTTATAAAGAGTATTATTTTGATTTTTTACAAGTGTCAAAGTATTCTCTCTTAAAATCACACATTAAAAGCGAATATGCAGACAGAAATTACAGGCCTTCAAAAAACAGTAATATTCATAAAACCTCATTCCAATCGACTATACACATTAATCTGGGCACATGGTAGAATCAGCTGTGGGCCTCTCTCACTCTGTTCTTAGCTGTGCTTGTTGATGGTACACGAAGGTCACCAACCAACTTTAAATGTACAATTTCACATCAGGAAGGAAGAAGTTCCCCATGGGAGACTGTAAAAACCATACCCAAGATCTAATATATATAATGTATACAAATTATTTATTAGTGTGCTCTGTTAACATAATTACAATGTGCAATTGCATATACATCAAGAATAAATTGCTATATCGAGTCATGTGCATATTTGACACAGGTACACTCAGCAGTACCCCATGGTCTGCTGGGTGGTGTTACTTGTGTGAGTGTATGTCCAGTTACTTTGTTTACCTCCAAAAACTTATCCTGCAGGGCAATCTGTAGCTGCCTCAGAGAAATTCAAGTAGGGCCCATGGAATAATTGCTGGCTTTTGTTAAAGGCATATGAAGGAATGTGTAGAACTCAAATGCTAAGGGTTGGAGGAAGACCCAACAAATGTGCTTCAATTACCAAGAAATGGATCTGTTTCTATATTCCAAGAAAAGAAAAAGGAAAGAAAGAAAGAAAAAGAAGAGAATAAAGCACCAAGAGAAGAATGCCTGGGAAGAAGAGGTGTTGTCCTCGGCTCCTCTCTGATGGCTAACAAATGCACCCTGCACAGGAAGACTTCTGCAGGGGTGACCTTTACACAAAAATAAACTCTTTTTCTGCTTCTTCCCCGGAGTCACTAGATTTGCTGCCTTGATGGCCATCTTTACTGGAGGACCGCTGCTTTTGTTCTTGATACTCCTGGGCCTGCTGGCCCCAGCTTCTCCTTGAAACTGAAATAGAAAGGGAAGTCATTCAGTTTAGTGCAAAGTAATACCAGAGGCCTGACCAACAGTGGGGTGAGAGGCAGAAGTCCTGAAAAGTGGGGCGAGGGGAGGGGCTCAGGATGAATTTTCTCAGAAACAAACATGCTATTATGTTTAGAGACTCAAAACAGAAATTTAAAGCAAAAGCAGAAACAAATGAAAAAAAGAAGACACACAAAAACCAGTCTATGACAGGGTGAACCTATCAGATGTGGTCAAGAATCTGAGGGGAGGACCCCAGAGGGAGAGGATGGTAGGGGAGGGAGGGAGATGCGGGAAGGAGGAGAGCCCTGACTCTGTTCTGCACCAGGAGACCTCCTCTGCTGTGTGAGGGGGTCGTAGCTGCCCCCTCACGCAGCAGAGAGAACAGGGCAGACACAGCCTAGGCACTGGCTGGACAAATGTTCCATTTGATGCTTCTGGAGATTTAGGGCTGGTCATTCTTGCTTTTGGGGTAGAATATCAGGAAAGGCCCCAGGATTCTTTGTTAGACCATTCTGTGTCTCAGAAAATCTGTTTCATTCTCTCAGCATACTTTAAAGAATAATGTCTTACGAAAACAAATTAAATACTAACTATGATACATTCCACCCTTTTGGATCAACCTCCAGGTAAAAAATTACCATTATTGTTGCCTGTTCTGATTACATATAAATATGAAAACTCTGCTGAGACTTTACAAAGCATGATGGGAGAATCATTACTGGAACTGAGCCTTTGTTATGTATCAAGAACTCTCAGTTTTATTATTGCTACTCCTCACAAGTACCCTTTAACCACGATCTAAACTAGATCTGTCTCTCCAAAGCCCATGTTCTTTTCAACTAGAACATAGCTTCACTGCTATGATACCTTGGGAAAAGGTTCAGATGCTGCACTCCAGCACAGCTATTAAGGGTTATTAAACACTACTCATCTTGTCTACTGTATAGACACTACTTGAGCTAAAAATACCAAACCACACACTTTGTGTGGCTTAAAGGAAGATGCAACTACCTCATCACTTAGAAGTTCAAATGATCCAATGAAAAACACATTGCATTAGTCCTGAAAAAACTACAGGCTTCATTTGATGCTTCTAATCATTTTGATTTTTGCATTCTGCTGAAAAGCCCATCTTGCCAGGAGCTAGCTACTTAAATGTTTACTCCACTGACGAGTGTTTCAGTAAGTAAAAGCTCATTAAGCCTACAGTCAAAATGCAAACATAATAAAGTGCTTCTCTTGCCAGTCGGATTTGTTAAAGCCAGATTCTGATCTCTAGACAATAAAAATTTAAGTTTTTAGTTAATAATATTAAGTTGAAATTACCCAAAATTCTGACAAGAAAAAAACTTTTTCATAAAAGTATAGAATTCTTTAAAATTTGACTTTTGTTCAACAGCTTCAGGCAAATTCTCAGATGGGGGAAGAAAGCAACAAACAAATACTACAATTGATTTCTATATTTTAAGCTTACATTGGGTGAAAAAATTAAAGGTAATTATTTTATTGGTCCTTTGAAAATTGTTAATAAGCCAGGTTTGGAGAAAGAAGGTAAATTAATTTCTTTAAATATTCTGCCCTTTATAACAAAACCAATTTGATACTCAAAGAGTCCTTTAAATACTAAGAACAGGGGGAAGGAGGAAAGATGTATACCTTCAGCATGAAGATATTTTACAATAAATCCAACTTCAAAATAGAGCATTACTTGTGATATTTGCTAGAAAGTTTTTTTCATTCTATTTTAAAACCCAAATAAGTTGTTCCTCTATAAAAATTGACTCAAAAACAAACTTTCAACACTACAGGTTGAAGGGAGAAAATAAATATGGTGATACATTGCTTCTTTCTTTTCAGAGCAAATATATTTGTTCTAATTCTTAGATAAAAAGAATAATCAAATTTTTATCCTTCCCGATATTTTAGCTTCCTAGAAATCTCAGCTCTAATTCATGTTACATGATATAAGAGTACTTTCTTAAAATAGAGAAATTCACGTAACCAAAAATGTTTGTTCTAGATAAAAACTGAGATACTGCAATTTATCCAACACAGTTACTAAGGAAAAATGGCATGTTCTTTCAAGAGGGCTGGCAAAGGATTTCACTATGGTGGTAACATTATTTAAAAATTTATTCTAAGTATATTCACCTTCATTGATTAAACTCTATCAATTGTGAATGTGCATGTGATAATGAGACTAGTCCCAGGCTGGCATGTCCTTAGTATAATAGGTAAGCATCATTCATGGATAGAAAAACTGAAGTATAGCAAGATCAAGGAATTAAAATCACACATCTAATGTGGTGAGTTTGGAAACCAAAGTGCTTGGTCTCTCAGGCTCCAGCCTTACTAGGCCAGATCCCCAGTGCAAACAACTTTGTAGGGAGAATGTCTTTGTCAAGTTTGTTTCTGAGCCCTTAGGGAGCATCTATTTGATTGTATATGATAAAGATGCTAATTACAATAAAGTAGGTTTGGTCAGGCTTCCATTAAAGGATGGTCTAAACAGAATTATGTCTGTTTGAAACTTAAAACTCCAGGGTTTATTTTCAAAATATCTATAAAATTCAGACATTTTACTAATTTAGACAGGCTGCCTCCTAGGCAGCTTGATTTAATGCTTGGTTTTACACAGGGGAAAAAAAAATCAGATTGTTTTACAAACACCTCTTCAATGCAACTATTTGTTAAGAGTGCTGGAGCCTCTCTATGCACGTGTCTGTGCACATATTTTTTACCACTCCACATATCATTAAAATTAATAGAAGATACTCGAAAATGAACAGGTAATTTATTCAACACAAACACTCCATGTATAGTCACATCCTGTCGATAGTGGCAATAATTGGTGCAGAGAGGCTCAAACGTGAAATCTGTCATTCTTGAAGATGATTTGACTTTGCATATATATGCACTAATTTTAAAGCTCTGACACATGCATATAAACTCAGAATAAGAAAGTGATATGAAAATTTGATATTTTCTCCATTGTAAGCTCCACTGATATCCATATCGTCCAGGAGGAAAACATTATGATGACTTTAAAATAGTATTCAGTAGTCAGCCCTGATTTTTTTATACTTTCTAGCAAGAGCCCCAAATGCCAACCAACCGTTAAACTTATCTTGAAGAACTCGTATAGGGGGTAGAACTTGGATCTGGTAGAAAAAGTGGAATAGAGCACTGGCTTACAGACTATAAGCCACAGCCAAGTATTTGTTGGCTACAGGTTGGATTATGGAAGAAGCAAGTGATATATAAAAGGAATCTTTCAATCAGATGCCCTGTACAAGTAGGAGCCATTACAAAGCACACAAAGCTGAAACCAACTATTTTCTTCAAGAAAACAGGATATACTCTAACAAAAACATCAAAATTTTAAATATAGAAAGGAAATGATATGAAATTAAAAAGATGCAGTTAAAAATATTTCTAGTAAAAGACACTTTTTAAGCATTTTACCTGTCAAATCAATATTAAAATAGCCACACAATTAAAACATTACTCATGATAAAAAATAATGCAGCATGCTTTGAGAACAATAGCCTCTGTTTGTTTCACAGATGTATGATTTAGGGAAATAAGAAAGCTGTTTTAGTGTAAACGAAGCTGTTAGTAAAAGACTTAAAAGAAAGTACACACAATGATTTAATAGAATGGCTCTGCTAAATGCTATTTTTTAACCAGAAACTATTCAGAAAGCAGACTGCTATGCAGTTCTCAAAGGTGAAGACAGTCAAGTGCTAGGAATCGGCACTAACAAAACAAAATTAAAATATTATACATAAAATTATTTTAATTGAAGCTCCTGTAAAAATTATTTTTTGATGCCTGTCATTATTTCAAGAAATCAAAGCAGAAAAGCAAATACAAGATGGTCCTATTTAATCCCATCAAAATTTGACACAGCCCATCACAATGAGAATTTAAAGCTAAAAGGGTCATGGAAAGATCTGAGACAGACACAGAATTTCTTCTCCTTGCCTTTCTGTGATTTGGGTTATCTCTGTGTCTATCTCTGTGTCTCTTTTTACTCTAACTCAAAGCCTTACTGCATGATCAGTGGGGCAGTGGAAGAAGGTGTCTCTTTGTGTGTTGTATAAAGTGATTTTAGTGGCCTCTTGAAGAAGGACATTGTATCATTGGTGCTTAATGTAGTCTCAAAAATAACTCTACCTCTCTTCAGAAAATAACTGTCTTAGGGGTTCATTCATGTAACTTATCTATGAGTGAAGATAACAGAGGTTTTCTTGGCAGTATCAGAGAAAATTTCTTGTAGAGAGAAGGACTCTGTTTCTATAAATAAATCTACTATACAAGAAATGAAAGTAAAGGGCCAACTCAGTCAGTTTACTCTAGGGCAGGTGCGATCTGGTCCAAACAGAAAGTTCTTTATGTGACCTATAGACTCTGCTTTATGCTGTGAGTGGTGTCCTTAACTTCACTCTGTCACCTAGCTAGTATGTGCTGGAACACCAGGCAAGTACGCACCATGCCTTACCCCTTGGTATTGGTTGAGAAGGCAGGTTCCCAATGTTGTTGCTAGTGGGTAGCTGGTTGATGCTTTTTAAATTCTATATCAAGGAAGGTTCTTAAAGACAACAGTTCCCACTTGAGGTATCATAAGGCATTGGGCTGTTAAGCTGTGAGGTGGATCACAAGATATTTGTTATCAATAATAAAGTATTAACATTTGAGAATGGTTTATCCCTTTGCAATAAAGACAAGGTATCCCTACAATAGGGTCGCTCCCATTAACTTGTATTCTGAACTGCTTTCTTAGGAGGCAGTGAAGGGCATGGAGTTAAAGCTAGAATGCTGGGCCACGTTTCGAATCCCTGGAGCATAAATATGCTCTTCAGTTAACACCTGATAAAGAATTGTAGGAAGATAAAATTTCATTCCAAAAGCAGAAGTCCTTTAAGGAAATCTCACATATCAGAATATTTTATATTCTTCAAAGATACTATGATTTCCTTTATAATATTTTTGAAGTCATATTTATAAAAAGTTATTAACCAGGAAGCTGATGAGTACATTAGTCACAGGAAAGACATTTCCTCTCTGAGTCAGCAATGCTTGCTCTAAAATTTCCCATCGGAGGATAAAGCTGATTTGAAATCTGTCTTCTTGTTGTCTCTTGGGATGTTTTCACCAGAAGAGAATGTTATAGAATTTACTACTGGGCCAAATGGAAGACAGAAGTCATAGAGAACTGCTAGAAAATAGAATAAATTGTTTCTGGAGGTTAACAAGTTAATAAGTGTTTTGTCTTACTAAAGAGTCATAAAATGTCTACTGAAAGATCATGATCCAAGGTCTGCCTTTATCAGTGGTTTTTTATTGATCCTTTCCTAAAAGAGTGTAAGGTGTTAGGCCAATATTCTCTATGATACAAGCCTTATTATTCTAAGAATTTTTGATCCAACCACAGCTGAAAACTAACAAAAGAATCGGGATATAAAGGAAGAAAATAGGAGGCATGACCCCAAATATAAAAACAAACCTACATGATAACAAAAATTTAAGGACAAGTCACCAAAGTAACTTAATCATCGTAAGAATTTCTAATTTTAGATTTTTAAGTCAACATTTTTTGCCCCGAATGGAAGGACCATCCTGTTGCCATTTAGAAAAACGAAAACAACCCAGCTCTTTTGTATGACTAATCCCTGACCCAGTCCCACAAGAGAAGGTACTCAATTAAAGTTCATTTTTGTTAGTGCCAGTTCATAAGCTTCAGGTCAGTGGGGGATGATAATTGAAGGCTCTAACCATTTGTTGGCTGTGACTTCCTGTGCCCAATTGCATTCACTTCCTCTTCTGCAATGGTGGAGTACAGTTTTGAAGATCTTTTCCCTCTACTGGAAGGCTTGCCATTGTCATGATCTGAATGTCTTTTGTAATAATCTCCTCTTTGCACTACTGAGGAAAAGGGATTCATTTTACCCTTTATATTAGCACATACATCAATGTGTTGACATTAATATTAAAAATATTAATATTAAAATGAAATATCAGCTTACCCACCCCACTTAGGATTCAAGGAACCTACAGTGTTGGTCCTGGGCAGATACAGCATTATCTACAGAATTCAACAGCCAACATTATGGAAATGTCGTGCAAAATGAGGTGAGCTCTCAGTCTGCCCCAAAAAGGTACTAACAAAAAGACCCCAGTATTACTATTTTGATTCCACAATGGATTAACAAAAATCACATTCACCATGGAATAATCCAGAAGAATCACAGCAATTTACCTGTTTCAGAAATTAGTTGGGCACGCTAGTCCAAAGGGAAGCACAGAACATGGAAATGAAGTAACCAGCATGAATAATATATAAGAAAACAGCAATGAGCACAACAGAAACAGTTTATAAAGACCAAGATAGGCTTCACAAGTGGCTACCATTCCTAGGCCACCTTAGTGGACAAGCTGATAAATAAAGTCAGAATCTTACCACATCTGACATTTACAGAATGTCCTCAGACTTCACGTATATTTTTAGTCCAATTTCAATACAAAGTGATACCATCAGGATGATCCCTGTGAGTAGCTTATTCTGCATCCCAGATGGGAAAGTCACAGTCTCTGTAGCTCTGCTGTCCCTATCATCGGACTGGAAAGACAGGAGCATGAACCGTTTCTCATATTTGCTACTGGGGGGAGTGAGGAAGGGAATTGGAAGATCTACCCGTGAAGCTCTGAAACATCTGAGGCGTAACACATTCTAATTTCAATTTCCTGGAGAAAGAACACTTGACTGTACACAGCAGTGAAAAGCCTTCTAGTGGTATCTGGTATCTCAGACACTTTGTTAACATGGAGAGAGGCTCCATGACACACACTCTTACTCAGGAGGCTGGTGGGTTACTCTAGGCCCTGCTTTGATCATCTATAGGCATCCAGAAAATACCATTTTCCAAATATGTTAAAATAAAAATTTTTTTATTCAACTTTTTGATTTTTTTGGGAGGGAGGTAACTCCTTCAATATTTCGATTGCTTTTGACAAGATGAATATTCCTACTTACCACCACCACCCCTTCCCTCACCTTCCCTTTTCTCTACATTTGGATTCTTTCAGGCATTTTTAAAACTTCCCTAGAAGTAAATATGTAAAGTTAGCAGTTACAGAAAAGAATGAAATAAGGGTAGGAATGGGGAGGAGCTGGGTGGCCAGGATTGGGTTATGAGGGGACATTTGCTGGCTTAGGCCACTCTGAACTGACATCACCAAATTTTTTTCCTTTTACACCAAGTCTTCCAAAGGCTTTGCCTATAACACTGATCCCTGTTTTTGTTTACTTTGTGTGAAACAGATACCAGCCGCCTTTTGTGGCTTTAGTTTCTCTATTTGACAGAAGTGGTTTGCCAGCTTTGGTCAAAACCCCACCTTCTTTTATTTATAGCCAACAGGTGAGTGAAGCTTCTACCCCCCTCCCCCGCCCAAATAAATCTGCAGGATGGAGATGAGAAAGTAGACAATGTTATTTTCTTATTAGATTCCCAAGTCACAAAGACAGTGCTTAGCAACACTTTCAATGAACTTCAACCCAAGACTTTCATCAATAAAAGAAAATAGAACAATGTAGGAAGATGTCAGAGCCAGAGAGATCAAAGGATTCTAAAGTGTCAAATAAATATAAAAGAAAACACAGCAACTCTAAACCATAATGACAACCATTTGGACACAGATGATAACTTCCATGGCTCTAGAATTTCTTCACAGATAGGGCTTAGAGACAGCATTTATATTACACCTCATGGAAGGACAGAACCCAAATCAATCACACATCTAAAAGCATGGGGGAGGCAGGTGAAAGAAATGGCATAGGTGCTAAAGCCACAACCATGCCTCCCCTCTAATAATAACTGGTCACAACTCAATCTGATTTGGGAGAAAGCATTCAAGTCACAGGATTATCCTGTTGTGCTCCTAACTCCAGCAAATTAGAAAGAGGAAACTGGTTCAATGACACTGAGAATGTCAATGCAGGTGCTGCACTTTTTGAGAATGAGGAACACTTCACCTGATGACTGAGTGAGCACACACAGCTATAAGGTCGCTCAGGCCTGGGTGAGCAGCTCCTGAATCTTAGCAATGGTGATTTACCACAACTAGGGGATGATTTTCTTGGAAATAATGAGACCTAGCAATCAACAGGTAGTACCAAATAGGTCATTAAAATCATGTTTAGGGAGCTCCAAAGCTGTTGGGAGCCAGTTCAGGAACATCTACTAATTACTCAGGCAAAGAAGATAGACCTTTGGGTTGGGTATCTTGGCTTTGTTTTTCACTCTTCATTAAGATTTAATGTCATCAATAATGTTGAATCAGGTTTCTGAATTAAGAAACTACTCTGGTTCCAAAAATTTAATCTAAGAGATGCTGACATTAACATACTCTAAGATATTAACTAAGTCTAGGATTAATTTCTTTCTTTTGAAATGACCCTCCTTGAGGAGAGCTAATTCAGAGAAAAAAAAAAATCTTACTTTCCTGGGAAAACGTCCTGGGACTTGGCTGGGGGCTACTCTGGCCATCTCTCTCCTTGTCTGAAGGAACTTTTTTCAGGACCGGTGGAAGAAGAGCAACTTTATGGGAACTTGAGCCAGATGGAGAGTCTAGGATGTCCTCTATGGAGACACAAACACATGAATCAAACTGTTCCATAAACTAGATTCCAAGAACATAAACCTGGTAAGTATTTAAATACAAATGACTTATTTTTTAAAAAAAGGATCATAGCATTTTTCTGGCCCCAAATTAGTTTTATGTCTCTGCTCAGTGAAGTAACACTCACAAACAACAGAGAGAAAAATAATGAATACTTATAAAAGGTTAAAATCCGCAGATGTGAATCTATCCTGCAGATACAGAATTTTGATGAGCTGGTATTTGAAAATTAGACTGTAAATGAACCACATGTTCCTTCTGCCTCAAACACAAAGGCTGTTTGGTTTTCTTAAAATATGTAATATTTATAATGCACTGACTTTACCTGTTGTCAAAGTAAATTAGTCACAACATATATACACATATATGTGTGCAATGCATGTATGTAGGTACATGTACCTACATATGCATACTGAGATCACTAAGAATGATTTGGAATCATGGACTTTTAGAATCAGAAAGGACTTTGATCATTGGACAAATAAAGAATTAAATGACCTGCTAAGCTAAAAAGATGACAAAATAGCTAGGACTAGAATTCTAGTCTCTTTATACCAAAGCCAGTGCTGTTTCACTCTAACTGAAAGGCTTTATTGAATTTCACTCCTTTCCCCGCACTGTTAACAGCAAGGTAATTCTCAAGTTACTGCGAGTGCCATATGTGTAGAAGACAACCTACAGCCAGGTTCTCTTTGGCCTTACATTTCAAGTTGCCTACTTGCTTCATCATATAAACAGGGATGTGATAAGATGTGTGAAGATAACACCATCCACCTTCACAATCTCTCAGAACTGTGGTGGAGAGGAAATGAGATGGTGTATTTGAAAATGCCTGATGAATTCTCAAGCTCTTGAAAAACATTCGTTTGTCAAGATAATTCTTGATATACTAAGTGATATGAAATACATGAACACATTTAGGAAATAAAATAAAAGCTTCTTCCAACAGAGCATTGGGAATTCAGCTAGTTTTACATTCTGCACTAGAAACTAGGGAGTCAAAATACAGTGGTCCCCCTTTATTTGAGGGGGAGATGTTCCAAGATCACCAGTGGATGCCTGAAACCATAGATAGTACTGAACCCTATGTATACTATGTTTTTTGCTATACATACACCTATGATAAAGTTTAATTTACAAATTAGGCACAGTAAGAGATTAACAATAACTAATAATAAAATAATTAAAACATACTATAATAAAAGTTATTAATACATAAATGTGGTTTCTCTCAAAGTATCTCATTATACTGTATCATGAGTAACTGTAATCACAGGAAGAGAAACCTTGGATAAGGGGGGACTACTGTACTCTACAAACTAGGTTAGATTTGTTTCATAAGAGCTGTTTCCTCACTTCAGACCAGAGACACACCTAGCTGATGAAAATGTCAGGAGCGAGTCTCCTTTTGGGGTAGTTATTTGCCTTCTATAAAAAATATTTTCTTTACCTCCATTCTCCCCACTCCTTCTCTTATGAGACATCTTGTGTTCACCAGGAAATTTTTTGTGTTCCCCATCAATTTGGTTTGTGAAAAAGTTTGAGTAGAATTAGCAAGTCCTAAGTGGTTTACTTCAAGTGTTAGTTCCTTAAAGTAAGTCAGTGTCCCCTTTTCTTTACGGCTTCTCTTTGGAGACTGTTCACTGGGTTTCTCAAGGAACTGATGGGCTATGAGGACCTGGGAGTATCGACCAGGCTGGCTGCTCAAGGAATGAAAGGAATGTGTGAGAGGAAATGGGAATGATCCATAGTGGAATAAGTTTGGATAACAGGACACTGCCTTTTTTCTCATTCTACCCAAATCATTTGCACATTGATAAATTACTATGATGAGCTGGGCATCCTACTTCACAATATGCATGGCCACGGTGGGAGAGATCAGCAGAAGAGTGATTACCTTGACAGGTGGTGGAGTCACAGTGTCTGGCTACTATTCGCAAGCTGTAAGACTTGGCAAACTTAATATCCCTGTTCCTCATCTGTAAAATGCAGTGGTGACGAGGACATTGAGAGTTCATCCACATAAAGCACTTAGAATGGTGTCTGGCACAGAGTTACATGCTCGATTAAGATTAGCCATGACATTTATGCTGATGATGATCTGATTATATATCTCTAAATAATCTGACTATATATCTCTATCCTCATTTGACTAATTTTTATAGGGGAATAAAAGGAAGAAGTGAAAATTTGATATGAAGTTTATCATATTGCCGATTCTACTTTTGTAAATGTCTGAAAATGCCTACCATAGAAAGTTAAAAAAAAAAAAAAAAAAGACCTAATGTGGTCTTTTTTGTCAGAGAGAATAAGGCAGAACCTAATCCATTTCTAATATTTTTAAGTTTCTTCTATCATTAGATTTTCTAAACTGATAGTCAGCAAACGTTTTTGTAAAGGGCTTTGCAAACTGTATGGCCTGTCTCAATTACTCCACCTTGCCACTGTGGCGTGGACGCAGCCGCAGACAACACCTACACAAGTGGTGTGGTTGTGTCCGGTAAAACTTTATTTACGAAAACAGGCCCATAGCTTGCCAAGTCCTGCTCTAAACCCTTGATATGTCACAGAAATGGCCTAAAAGCAGAAGTGCTTTCCCCATTTGTGGCCCTCATTCTTAAACTGCAGACTTTTAAAGGGTCTGAACGCCCTGGAGACAGATTTCAGAAAGCCAACTCAAGCACTGCAGATGGGTCAACATGACGCAAGACTGATTTTCCTGTCTTGCCCACCAACCAACCTGTAGCCCTAAAAGCAAGGACAGTCTCAGCGTCCCCAATTCTTGCACACAGTGGGTCTCAAGTTGAAGAAAGAAATCCCTCGGCTCTCATCATTTTCACAGCTCTGAGCAAGTTTCTCATGAACCCCTCCTGCAGAAGCCCCTGTACCCCATCACCAGCGACTCTTGAAACCACCTGTGGAACCCCATCCACCTGGCCCTGGGAAGCCACCTAGTCATTATGTGACTCCCTGACCAGCAAAACCCTTACCAGGCCTTGAGGTGGTTCTTGGTTTCTGTGGGATGATGGGCCGTGTCACCAGGCTGGGTTTGGGGGACTGCAGGAGGGGCTTTGGGCTAGGAGGTGTGCTGGAAGAGCTGCAAGACCTGGAGCCCCCTTCCACTTTGGGTTCAGCTTTGGCATTCTTTTCTGGTGTTCCCAAACCAAAGCGGCTCTCTGGAAGACCTGGGTGCAGTTTAGGCACTAAAATTAAAAAGCACACACCTTTACTTTAAGAATAAAAGGTCAAAGAAACCAATAATTTGAAGCTAGAAGTCTGGTACAAACTGTTATACTCATTTATCGTCATTTCTCATCATAGACATTTTAGAACAGAAACATGCCCTTCTAGTATATTTTTAGAAACAAAACATGCTGGTGAAAGACTAAAATTCTTCGTAGAAAAGCAATAAACTTAGGCCAAGCACGGTGGCTCATGCCTGTAATTCTAGCACTCTGGGAGGCCGAGGCGGGAGGATCGCCTGAGGTCAGGAGTTCCAGACCAGCCTGAGCAAGAGCGAGACCTCGTCTCTACTAAAAACAGTAGACAGCTAAAATTATATAAAAAAAATTAGCCAGGCGTGGTGGCGCATGCCTGTAGTCCCAGCTACTCGGGAGGCTGAGGCAGAAGGATCGCTTGAGCTCAGGAGTTTGAGGTTGCTGTGAGCTAGGGTGATGCCATGGGACTCTAGCCCGGGCAACAGAGTGAGACTCTGTCTCAAAACAAACAAACAAACAAAAAAACCAATACACTACACTACAATACAATAATAAAATAAAATAAATTAATAAAATAAAATAAAATAGCAATAGACTAAACAAACAAACAAACAAAAAAACCAATACACTACACTACAATACAATAATAAAATAAAATAAATTAATAAAATAAAATAAAATAGCAATAGACTTGTTGGTGCTTTTCTGCTCACCCTTGACTATTCCAGAGATTACAAACTTTACATTTAATAGAGTACATCTCTATAATCATGTGTAAAGAGAATAGTGGTTCTTAATGTATTTGAAGGCTTCGGGTCTTTCTCAGATCTGGCATGAGGTACAGGTATGACCCAGTGAAAGGGTCTCAGTTCTGGATGGTAATCAGGGGTCTGACCCCAGTTCTGAGGGAGGCGGGCTACGCTGACGCAGTCTCACATCTAGTGAGAAGGGCTCCGGAAATGTCATCCTGTCCTCTGCCTCCCATCCATATTGCTACCTTAATTTAACCAGACAACTGGCAAAAAAGCCAGTAAAATGGAATTTATTAACCAACTCTTACTGCATAAAGATACCATAGCTAAGCACAAGAACTTCAAACAGCAAAATGAGGATCCTAACACACAATATATACGTTACTGTCCAGTTTCCATTTCAAGTATCTTATTCTTTTATTACGCCTAAAAAGTCAGTGGGACAAAACATATCGGATTTTAGGCATATTCAAGTTGCAAGGGAAGACTATTCCTCACATCAAACAAAATAGCCACTCATCTTCCACATACCACATATGGCTTATTTTTAAAAACATTACCTATGTCCCCATTTTCTCCCTCCTTTGCCAAAATGCCCATAATTTAGGCGTTCCCGATGAAAAAGTAATCAGAATTTCCTCCCTTTTGTTAATTTGCAAAGGTGCCCCGCCCCGGCACAAGGCTACAGTGGGGGGAAGCGTGCCCCAGGTAGAGCTGGGGCAGGTGAAGGCATGTGGTCTTTCAGATAAGAGCTAAAAACAACACAGAGGCCCATTCTAACCTCACCACTTTTATTTACCTTCTGTCAATCACACGTGACAACGGAAACCAGAGGGTAAGTGCTTTTCCTAAGAGGGTGACAGCAATGGTCTGACTTACCTGCACCACCTCCATCCAGCCGTTCCATGTTGCTCAAGGCTGGGCTGGAAGAATCCTGGGATATGGCGTCGTTCACAAGCTTCTAAAAAATTCAAGCATCACCACCCAAAAAGGTGCACGTTTATTTAATGCATAAGGAGAAAAACAAAGCAGATAGTAAGTGACAAAAAATAATAGCTCCTTACCTTGACCACTGTCACAGCAAACGGACCTGACCTATCTGTCTCCGTGGGCTCTCCAGCTGGGACAAAGCTATGAGAAATACATTCTACTCTGTGTTCACAGTCAGGCTCTAGGGTCCAAAGTGTGGCCGGTTCCTCAGAAGGCTCCCCACAGATGAGAGGTGCATGTGGCCAGGGGAAGTCAGCAGGCTCAGTGACCTTTCCTCTATTTCTTGTTGAACACTACCCTGGCTCTGCAGCCCATGAAGCTTATATTCTAGAAATTTACAGGACCCACTCCAGGTTTGTTTTCCAAAAATCTAGTTGAAAAGCAATGGAAACCTTTCTAACCTCAATATACGATATAGGTGAAAGGGCCTGAAACAGGCAAGGTCTTCCTTGCCACTGAAGTAGAACCAAAGGACACAGATCTATTTTGGGGGGGCAAATACAGATGAATGGGCCTGAAGTAATTTTTAAAAAGTCTGCAGGTGGGAGGAATCAGTGTGGCAAAGATGGGGAAGGTGAAACGCCACTGTCTCAGGGTAGGAGGTATAACAGGTATGCTGGGATCAGCCTCTCCCCTCCCAGTGCAGGAAGTCCACATTAGAATGAGGCATTTAGATACAAAAAATGTATGTGAAGCAAAGTCCAGTGTTTGCTTAATAATACCTAAGGATCCTATTGGCCAAGATGATCTCCATCTACCTCTTGTCTAAATAATAGAAGAGGTAGACAGGTAGATCCAGAGGCATGATGATTCCCAAGGCAGTCTGACCTTTAGCCTGTTTGTTCCTGCTCATCTCACACTTTTGACAAATCTAAAAAGCAAGTATCTTCACCCGATTCCTAGCTTTAAACTGTTTTTGATGATATATGAAAGATTATTTGAAATGCAGGTGAGATCAGCCTCACTCTCTGCATTCGTCAATCTACCCCAGCCACACACTCCCAGGAGTGCTGACTCTATCAGAAGGCAGCCCCCAAGTAGCAGGAAGGCTGAGGAATTTCTCAGCAAGATTACAAAAGCTCCTCTTTCACTAGTGGAGGATGCTGAAGTCTCTGAGAAGAAATGCATACACAAGGACCGCAGCTAAAATGGGCGCATTATTTGGCATCACTATGGAAAAGTGATCCCAAGAAAAGGAAGCCCCATGCTAGCTCTAGAACAAGTGTCTGCTAGACAGAGCTGGGGATGAGCCACGAAGCCCCAACTGGGACCCCTCGCTTTCAGTCTCCTCCACATGAAGGGCGGGCACCCAATAGTGAGGATGCCCTTAAATTTTGTACCCTGGGCACCTCATTTGTCTGCATCTCAAAAACAATCCTAGAGTTGTTTTTTCTTTTTCCTGCCAGGTCTTCTCAGGTAATTATAAATCCCAAAAATGACTGCATGGAACAAGAATACAATAATGTAATGCCTCTTTGCGTATAAGCAGCTTTACTTGGTGGCCCCCCAGAAGAAAAGGTATGAACTCTAAGCATTCACTAGCTGCTACTCTCCTTTGTTAATAAATGACAGATAACATATCTTCTTATGCGCTGTTCTTTTTCTTTAAATATGTATATTAAATGCCAATAATGTAAAGAGATTATTCAGAGAAGGGTGAAGATACCATATATTCTATCAACAGTATATTGACCACTGATGCTTTTGTTGCTACCTTTATAAATAATACAGTCATGGCACTTCAGGAAAAATATTCTAAGGTTAATTTTTTGAAAACTTTCTCTTATTATTATTCTGATAGAAGACCCATGACTGGTCTCAGTTTTAAACACTAAAGATTTTTAATGATGACTATTGTTTTAAATTGACACTTGGCCAGACACAGTGGCTGATGCCTATAATCCTAGCCCTTTAGGAGGCCAAAGAGGGAGGATCGCTTGAGGCCAGGAGTTTAAGACCAGTCTGGGCAACATAGTGAAACCTATTGCTAGAAAAAAAATTTTTAAAAATTAGCCAGGTGTGGTGGCTTGTGTGTATACTTCTAGCTACTTGGGAGGCTCAGCCAGAAGGTTCACTTGAGCCCCACAATTTGAGGTTGCAATGAACTATGATCACACCACTGTACTCTAGC